AGACTGGGTTAGTTCAAGGATCATCCGAGTTTTAAAAATAAGCGCAGTTGAACGTTCTAATTTACTTATATTTACAACGCCGATGACAACTAAATTCAAATTGGATTTGTTATGAACCATGGCCTATGTTTACATTAGATTCCATTTAATGTGATATAAATATTATTTTTGCTCTACTGTGCAAATACGCGTCATTTACAAAATATGTCACAAATTGCCAAAATACATATACTTCTCAAATTTAGGACTGTAACTATGTAAGATATCATCAACAAGTTAGTTCTTAATTGTTAACATAGGAATCCGTTATCCTGCTGGAAATCCTGACATAAGCTTCCTGTTTATTTGTGATAGGTTAATCAATTTATAATATTGCGTTTGTTGAATATTTTTAATTATTTTATTATAAGATTATAATTATGAAACTTCCGCGTTTGTTTGATAGATTAAGGAAGATTTTCAAGGCGGCTTCAACCTCTGGATTGTAAATAAACTAGCAAATTTGAATACCATATGTGCGGTTTTTTTAAAGTTCGGGCTGTTATTATTATGAAAGCAGATTTCTCTCCACTTCTCACGCATTTGGATTGCGTGTGTACCACGATTTGGTTTCGTTTTGGCAAATACTACGTGGTCGACCTTTTTATTACATGTTCCGTTCCTTTGATATTCCATTCTACTTCGTTGTCGTTGTTTTCCTTCCTTCGATTGGAAATCGACGCGTTTGCAAGTGACATCACCGTTCTTTCAGACACTTTCACTTCCGCCTTCGAATTTTCATCCTGTAACAATCATGCATTTCCATAACCGACCATCATCATCGTTCTGGCATGGCATGTGTTTGCTTGCATTATAAACCCTGGTATTAATAAACATGAAATCACGTCTAGTCTGAATCACATTTTTCCTTTTCTCGGTACACGAGCAGCGCATAAATTGAGATCCAGTAGTCTTATTTATTATAATTTAAAATGAGCAATTAATTTGTGCTCGCTTTTTGGATCGTTATAAAAAAAGGGAGGTGTTGTGTTGTCGGTGATTCATTCCTCTGATGAAAGACCGACTAAATTTATATTTGGCCAATAAATTTTTACGGCGTGAATTATCCCCGGTGTGTAATTCAAAAGTAAATTGTTTGGCCATACGATACAGAAAGCGCACACACTAAATGTATTTTCTAAGGCCCCGAGCTTATCTAATCAATCCCCCCCTTATCTTCGTGTTAATCAGATATAGACGATATTTGTTAAGTGCAAAATTCCCAACGAAACCCAAGTCACTCGTTTTAACGTGTGCTTTTATTTTCGGTCTATGTACACACCAGATTTAACGATTATCACTCGCGCCTTCGATTAGATTATAAA